CAAATTCCTATCTTATTTAATTGTAACTGGTATGTGACGCCACTTTATACATATAACTGATGTTTGAAGGTTACCTTGGTTTCCTGGTATTTAAAACTGATATTTGATGATTATCTTAGTAACTTGATTTAAATATAACTGATGCACAGGTATATCAAGGTTACTTTGGTTGTATAAGGAGTATCGTAGTGAACCCTGCTGGTAGACATACAGAAGTTTGACGATACGTTTTCATTTTATACATAATTATAATTCTTCCCTCGTTCCTTCATTTGTTACAGGAAGTTTACACGTTTAGTACCAGACTTGTGACAGCGTTATGTATTTCCCGTATATCTATATATCTATTGTTTATACGGTGACACCTGCCCTTTTATAGAGGTCCTCATTTAACCTGTAATTGTAAGGGAACCTGTCACTCTGATCTGTTTCACCTTACCTATACACATGTACGTACCTACCTGTGACGTAGTGTCACTCTGATCTGTCTCACCTTACCTATACTAATTACCTGTGACGTATTGACACCGTCACCTCCGATCCTGATCAGTCACCTCTACCTGTCAGACCACTTGTAATTGGGTGTCCGTATAGGTCCGAGCGGATAAAACCCAATTATTAGTTATACATAACACCGATTGTCAGTGATTATACAAACATTGTCACCCGTTAGGAGTCATTGTGTCACGTTTACATGAGGTACTTGCTCCGTGATTAGCGATGATCCGAGCACGCGCGCGGCTTGGACCCTTCATTCCGTTATCGGTATAAAATCGGCCAGTTCACACTTTTTCATCATAATTAATTTATATACAGTATAGGAAAGGATAACTAATTATACAGAAGTTGTTCCTGGGAAATCTAGACACTATATACATATATCAACATGCTGAAACACGCATCAGAAAGATGTAAGGAGCAGAAAACGATGGGTGTTAAATCCAGATCAGGGAGCATATTCAAAGGGAAGGAAATGACATCACAAAACGGACGAGCGCCATCTTCAGATTTAGAGTTGATACCGGACTTAGTGAACGCGAAGACCACAGTAACCGAAAGTAACTACAACAGTATTAACTATCACATGAAGATGTCAGATCGGAATCGCACTGTAATAAGGCGAAGGGCTGAGAGACTACGACAGCGAGACATGGAGATTCGCAAGCGTTTGGAAAAAGTCAACAAGAAAGCCAAACCAATTGGTGATGGAACTTCTGCCAAGCAAGACATCAAATCATGTCAGGAAGCAAGTTTGACCTCGAAAACTGATACCGAAAGTGAAAAAAGTATAAAACAACCAACGTTATGTACTGTTATTGTTTCATCAAACGAGATTGCTGTGAATTCTTCAGGAAGCATGGACTTGTTACAGCATGAAACCGGAAGTATGAGGATGGACTATCAAATGAATAACAATATATGTGACAGCGTGTCCTCTTTAAACTCTCTGACGTCACAGCCTGAAACCGGTAGTGTGGAAAATGGTTCACAATGCAATCTCAATGAAACAACTGGTACCGTGTCTGAGGATCAGGAAACCGGAAGTGAAGTACAAGAGAATCAATTGAATCACAAAAAGGCATGGGACGCTGTCTCCGCGGATGACGACATGGCAACCGAGATTAGACGAGGGAGAGAAGGGCGATCGGCACCAGCTGAACACATGATGAAGATGCATGTGACATCAACAACAGACGAGGAAAACATTGAGAGGAAAAGTCCCACGACAAAGATTACAAACGAACATGTGGAAAATGAATCAGCCAGAAGCCCTGCAGTAAAGTTGAAGGCATTCGTCGGGGAAAGGTATTGTTTTAATAAAGCTAAAATCCTTTCTAAATCAACAAACGGGATATCGAAAGAAGAAAATGTTCATACCCCCAAACGTAAAAAACAGACAATGTGTTTCTATCTTGCTGATATGGCATCGCCCCATAGTCTTGGAATCAGCCCAAAGAGAATTAAACTTCACAAATCATCTAAAAAGACCCGGATAGCTTCCACACTGACGTCATCTTTCACCGGAAGTATGAACTTTTCGAAGATGAAGATGAGGAAAACGGTTCTTAATATATTGAAGACAGACCGACGTGCATGTAGCCGCGAAGTATTCTGAAGTATTGATTGTGACGTATTGATTGTGAAGTACTGATTGTGACGTATTGATTGTGAAGTATTGATTGTGACGTATGATGGGACATTCATGTTGTGTTATTGCACGCTGTGCCAAATGACAGTTATTATGAAGATAGAAATACAATTTATTCGTGTTTATTGATATTTATGGTGGTGATGTTTCAAACTGTGCTATTGACTGTACAATTTATCCTTTCATGTTTCTCTAACACTAAATATGTTCATTAAATTCCTTTATCAACTCAAATTATTGTATTTGTTTTTATTTTTTCTCTGAACAACAATTTAGAAAATACTTGAGACCCTGTTTCTTACAACCCATATAGATCCTACACATGTCCGTTTTACTGTGATCATATTCCATGTATAATACGGGCTGCATCAGAAGTAAACTTCTCCGAGCATTGAACGCCGAAACGTTGACAATTAAATATGACCGGGAAATTAAATTAGTTCAATGCTCCAATTGAACGTTTTAAAATTTTAATTATTTTTTTTATACATGTGAAGTGTACCATTACTTTATTTCTCGCACTCACCCACGTTTTACCATGTTTTACAAACTAATGTCATTGTTTGGCGGAGGTACATCAGCTGATGTTATTTTCAACGAATATTACTTTGAATACCTAATTTAAAGTTCAAATTATACATTTGAAATGCAATGGTTTTAGAAACAGGGTACAAATATTCATCAGATATAGACTTTTCTTGAGGTGAGTATGTGGTCATATGAACCTGCGAAAGAGATATTAACAGAGATAAAGAGAAGTCGAGGTTTATATAACCTTTCAGGTTGATATAGCGGGTACATTAACACCAAAATAAAAGTAATTAATTGTTATATTAAATATAAATTATGTTTTTCACCATGACACAAAAGGAACGTTAGAAAATCATCAAGAGAAAGATCCTGTGTTCGGCAGATAGCATTTTGACGTCACAATTGAAGTGACGTTAAAAATGACTAATAATATTAGTAACACCGAGTTATGTCACAAGCCATGATCGCCGACCTCCATCTGATTATTATTTAACTAATGATAATGTTGAAAACTGGTGTCATTTAACATAGACGAAGATCAGCTCAATTGCAACAGAAGGATCCAGAGAGTGTGTTACGGATTATGATTAAGTAGATATTCTAAGCCATATCGCACCGTTCCTCTCGTTTTTCTGTATCTGTAAATTTATTTCTTACACCTTTGATTGAAAACGAGGAGATTTCGGACACCCAAACAACAAAATATGAGTACGGTTGTAAAAGTGTGACACAGAAAAAAATGTTGTAACGTTGATAACGTTATAGGATGAACAGAAAACAAATCATCGCTTCAGTGAGTTTGTAAAAGAGAAGAAAAACTCAAGACAAGATATTGTTCCAGTGAAATAAATAAAATGTAAGAAAACTTAGATTTGGTAAATCTTCACCTAACAAAAACATACATGTACAATTAAGACGAATTCAGTTAATTAGAATGTAACAGAGAATGTAAATATAATTTTAATGTTTCATATCTTGCTTGTTCAAAACATACCTGCAATATAATAATAAGTTTACAAATTTTAAACCGATAGATGAAAAACACGGCAAGTTAGCACATTTATATATTATTAAAATGTGATCTGTTAATTGACGACACACCTATACTGTATACGACCAGGCGTTGCAGCTGCGGAAATGGCCGTTGTAATGTACAACTGACAGGATGTTTTATTATCACTTTATCTATACAAGTGTAAAAAGTCACTGCCTATGATAAAGTACTTAGAAAACGTCTTAATAACCGAATATTAATTAAGGTTCTCACTGTTCGCTTTGCTTGTAACCTTCTAATGTGCACCTGTAGGGATTGATAACGTCTGTAGTTGTGAGGTTAGAGTGCAGGCCTCGGGGCTAAAAGGACATGCAGACAAATAATGGCGGCAATTCACGTGGACATATTTCTCCAATTATCACAATGTCCAGTATGGTGACAGCGTTGTTTACAAACAAAATAATTACCATCAAAGAATGTGTACACACAGGAAATACTGTGAGGGAGGGTGTATCATAAAAACTCCTTTTGCGCGATCAAATTGGTCAACATTGGATTATCTCCCTTCCTCTTCTTCTTTCATTAGAATTTCGATGGAACATCTTCATTATCAGCTTTATTCCTTGTATAAGCGGCATCGAAACTCAACACACAAATGTAACCAGCAGTTGGCGATGTATACTGAAGAATTATATCCTTCATCGATCACCAAGATAATGTTACATAGAATAACGTAAAATACAAATTATAGGTTTATGTAACAATCCCTTCGTATTGTATTTTATCATAAAGTATTAGCCACTGTATCGGTATTGAGCGATTGAAAATAAATACAACTCCTTGGAAAACGAAACCACCGCATGCGTATACAATGTTGTACATTTATATAATATATGTTTCTAGGTGGATCAAAAGAGAACAAAAAATTCACCTAAACATTTAGTTGAAAATATACCCTACCCTGAATCAAGTCGAAACCTATAAGCAACCTTAAAGCCATAGGCTCAAGGGTTAATATTAGTCAGGTGTGATGCAGGCTATGATACGGGAAAGATTGAAGTATATCCTGTTTATCCGATATATTTAAGTGATGTTCTGGTGTGATGCAAGGGGTACATTAAGGGGTCTGGCCATGTGCTAAAGGGAGTGTTATAAAGAGTAGCATATTTGGGGTTAAAAGGACTTTTGAACATATCACTATGAAAAACACAAAAACTCTATATTTAGAACTAATTGTAGGGCAAGGGACACAACCGAGTATCACAAGTGTGGTGAATGGATGTGTACTGGCATAGGGTCTCAGTGTGTGACTTTGCGACCTTCCTTTGAGTTTTATATCGTATCAAGAGTAACGGGAACAATGACGTTTTCTCTGGCTTTATTAGGAATTTCTATTCTACGTAAGTATAAAAGCATTTTTTTGTAATAAGTCATAATTCTTGAAACTATAATTCCATCCAAGTACTTTTATCTCTCAATACTTATCCAAGTTTTTATAAGTTGACTGTTTAAAGATAGTTTGCATATCTTATATCTGTGTCTTTCGAATAAACTGTGTGTCAACGCTAAACAATGTTTTGGATAGAATATAAAGTCGGTAAATAGTAGGATTGTAAATTCTGAAAGTCAAAAGTTAGGATTATATGTTAAATCCGTTATTTAGAGTATCAAAGCAGATTGTTTTGTGAGAAAATGGCTATATGCATGGGATTTTCAAGCATTAACAAATTAACGTCTATTGCTGAGGTTGATTTCAAGATTTATTCACCCGAAAATTCCTATGTTATCTGGCGTAGATCCAAGGTCCGTATGTCAGTATCCTAATTTTGGATGGACATATATATCGACATCCACCTCAGATATTGACAATTATAGATTATTGCTAAATGATACGTTCTGACCAGATAAAACTAAATAATTTCCCCTTCGTTTTGATGAATATTGCAGCGCCGTGTTAATCGCTGACTTGATGATGACGATATAGATTATATAGTTATATTGTATATAAAATATATATGATATGACAATTATATGAGACATATTGTATATAAAATATATATGAAATGTCTCATATAATTGTATTACAGTATTATTGATAAAAGAAACAGTATAAACAAAGATCTGATGAAATTCTCTGTAAAGATAAACCGATTTATAACTGGTAAAAGTAAATTATTCAATCAATTTCAAGTCAAAACTGGAACAAACCGGAATTGTGATTTTGCTGTCAGTGACGTGTATTTATATATGATGTCCCCTTATTTAGTTTGACGTCATATAATGAGGCCTACACAAAATCATTACTGACTCCTTATAGTTCCGTAGAAAGTTTCACCATTTGACCGGTCTTGATTTTAATATACCAAAAAAATATTTCAAAAATTATTCTTAAATCAATGTTTTCCAATCACCTAACGGGACCAGTTACAGAATGTTAAAACAATATCTATTTTCAAATGCTTGCTTTATCTCCCTCCGAGACCAGCTAATGTCTGCTGTAAATTTAGAATATGTAATGTTACATTACAAAACGAATACGGCAGAAGGAATAACACCATTGGAGAAGAAAGGATGTGTAATCTTCGTACCCTTATTGATTTGGAGATGAAGTTCATTTTTAATTAGTTGTAACGATAGTCAATGGTTACAACTGGCCGAATCAACTCTCCTAATCAGAACCATTACATATTGAGAAATGCGTTGCATGTAAAGTTTCTGCACTGTGACCGGTTTATGAGAATAAAGTTTTTGTCATTGGTCAATAAATGCATGGCATTATTAATTGTCAGATTTGTATTTTGATTAGATTTATTAGCGACGGGAGAAGCGCAATCTACCAATGTAAGTGGTATTGTGTCGCCGGTGACAGGAGGCGTTGGTGCTCCTCTTTCTCCTCATTCAGGCACAGCCCAGAAAGTTAAGCGAGCCCATGGATCAGTAACGGACATCCCCGAAGAACGTGAAATAGGGGAGGACGTGACAACATCGAGGGGCGGAATAACGCAGCCGACGCCTGCCGGTATGTATGACAAGAGATTATTTTGTCACGTTTTATATTTGTACCAACACATATATGTGAAAATGATGGAGTTTAAATCACTGTAAAGTTGTTGTTCCTCGGGATATGTTTTATGGACTCTCAGAATCAAATACATTTATGTCAAACGACATTACAGAGGATCCGGTCGAACAACACGACCTCAGTCCGGGAGCGGGAGCCCAGACGACGACCCCTATGAATGGACATACTGCTGCACGTCATTTTGGAACAACAATGCCATACCAGCATCACCCCTTCGCAACAACAGAGGAGGTCGAACCAGAGGACCTTCTACCAGGTAAGTTTACGAGACCCGATACAACCCAATGTTCTAAGTGCTTTTTTTCCTGAAGAAAAAAATGATATATTATAAAAGTGGTGCATCAGCCTTAGATGTAGTTTACACCACGAGCTAATTACATACGAACAATCACTACTTGATATTGGTGTTGCGTACAGTAGGCTTTATGGTCGGTGTTATTGTTGCTTAACTGGCCTTGTGTTTTACTTCCAATTAGAAAGTTTTAATGCTACAGAGTGAAAGCATGAAATGCGTGTTTCGCGTGACAAGGACGCCATTTTATGATTGCGTTTGAATTTCAATGTGCCGGGTTGGTGCTTTAAACTATTATTTTTCTTGTTTGATGGCAAAGCGTTTTCTTGATTTTGGGGTTTTGAAGGCAAATTAGTAGCTGTAACATCTCTTAACGATGAAACTATATCATTTGCTTGCAAAATGTTTTTGAGTTACAAGCATTCATAACAATACAACAGTTATACATCTTAAACCGTTGTGAAGTATGGAATGGTACCGTTATATGGGCTTGACTTAGTCAAATTATATCAAAATAAAGAATGGCTTGGTGAGTATACAACCATATTTGGTTGAGATTTTTTAAAAATTCATGTTTTTATGAGATCATTTACATATCAAACGAAAACAACCAGGGTGGAATATGACCATTCACCTTGCTACTTCTGTCTGGCCGATGATTTCCCGTTTTTTTCCACAGGATTGGGGAACTGTCCACTGTTTGAAGATGTCACAAAGGAGCATCATGTTATCATCCGACACGAAAACTGCGAAATGTAAGGGATACAATTTTGCTTCCAAACTACACCTCAGTAGTTCCTCATCATCTACGCCACGTGGTCGTTCAGTTTTATACCAAATATAAGCTTAACAATTTCATGTAAACGCTGACTATACTCAATAATTCTACCGTAATAGTTTTTGATATTAAGCACCATCTTCTCTGCAGCTTCTTCAATACAGAACATGGATACATTTTGCCAAAAAATATTTAAATCTTTTCGAAAAATAAGAAGATACAAATTGTATACTCACCAGAAATGGCTTGATTTTTGCTCAACGAGGGTAAGAAAACAGTAAATAATGTTATAAGTATGGAAGACAACCTAATTATGTAGGGTACGAAAAAAGGCCATGAAAAAGTAAAGTAAAACAATCCTGTTTCAGATTTGTATCCCATGACGATTCCATACGATGGTTCGGAGAGCCTGGATTAAGGTAAGGACACGGATAGGAAACCTGGGTCTAGTTTCACGAGCGTTCCATAACTTAAGGAAATTCCTTTATATTTCCATATGAAAGCATTATTGCAGTTACGAAAATGCGTAACACAATGGTAGTTTCCTTCATTTCGAGTGTGTTTTCATAGAGCATAGATTGTTTGATTTGATATTCAAGATAATTACAAAATTTAGCATATTATTGAATTTCAACAGATAAGCGCATTGATGAACCGGCACACTTACAATAGAGGCGATAGAAAGCTATATACAGTAGCTTCAATTAACATTATCATAAATTAGCTCCGTATTTAATTCGCAAAAATCGCTAAAATTGGAATACTGCTAAAAACATACGTTTACAGTATGTATACCCATAAAACCTACAGAATCGTCTACTATTCATTGCGCTTGAGGAACTGCAATGTATTCAAACGTTCAATTATGTGCACATTGCTTGCTTAAATGTAAAAAAGTGATTGTAAGCCTTTGTTTTTGTTTCACAATTATAACTATTACTATTATCCATATGTTGTAAAGCGTTTTAAAGTAATGTTGCAAATTAAAAAGGGCGCTATATAAATGTTGTATATTATTATACCTTTTATTGAGAATATTTTTTATCGAAATCTTATGATATTTGATATCAATCCTACATCATGAAAAGGCTAAGACAATACAGTAGTAATGTGGTACAGGTTCTATTTTGTTTTAGAGATACATTTTCACAATCCAGCAAATACGGCTATACATCGTCAATTCAGTTAGCGTGTATCTAGTTCTATTCTAACCAACACTTGGTGGTTGATGATGAAGCCTACACGTTGTTTGTACCATGTCGAGTAAAGGTAGCTTAGTTGTTTACTAGATCTTATCATTATCTAATTTATTAACAAATACCATTTTAATGTTCCAGTCCACCTTCTGTCTACGTACGGAACTTTGTATGACGTCTTACAACAGCGTCTATGTCATGGAATAATCATTGTTGATCGCGCGTAGTTTATTGTGTATGTGTCACAAAAAAGATCGAAATATGTGTTTTGTTAAAGCTTGACAATTACATACGTCAAAAGTGAAAATATGTACTGTTGCTTCACCAATTGCATTTTAGTCGTCTTAATAAATAAATTCCATACACAAGTGTATCTGCCTTTAATTTGTTTATACAATCTGATACCGAACGCGGCGTTAATGGTCTAGCAGACAAAAATGGGGGGTTTCGTGGAAATTACTTTTTGTTCCCTTTCTTGTTGATCGTTTGTGCATTCTACGTACTTTTGATTTATTCATATCTATAGGTACGAAAATGTATTGAAAGGGGCACGTCAAACGATAAGAGTAACAATTAGACATTAGAGACACGAGTATATACTCGGGTACTTCCATCATTGGGGTAGAGGGTACCGTTACAAGTAATTCCACTACAGAACTGTTGTTATAAGGACTGAATTATCTCTACAATAAAAAGCTGCATACACGATTTTTTTTCTGTTTAGAGTACCTGCCCTTGACAAGGTATTCTTCACTGATTACAATATTGGTTTAGTGTATGATACAATGTATGTTCTAATCGACCACTGGGACATGTTTTTGTTTTTGCCTTTGCGTACATTTTTCCAAATTCTAGAGTTTCCATCAACTGTTATCATGCTTAATGCAACAAAAGAGGTATTTGTTACAAACTTTACCTTGGTGAGCTTATTTCGCCTGCCTGTTAACGTTGTTGTACAAATTGTAGCGCTGTTTGATACGTGAGTTACTCCCCTTCCCGCCGTTGTTTGTCAAATATGTGTTATATACTCTCCTTTATCTGTCTCTGTCGTCTGTTGACTTGGACCTGTTCACAGTGTTTTGTAAGGGTTCTAGCTCTTGTCAACCAGCTGGTGACCTGCATATAACCCTGTTATTGTAACGTTGTTTAAAACTAACTCGATATCCTGCACATCTACAATAATGTATCTGTTATAAGTACCAACTACAGAACAGACAAAGTCCGTCCTCATACGACAATGATTGTTGCTAGGGCGTTGAACCCAAAACAAACAAACAAACAATGAACGGGAACTTACCTGACTCTATATGCAAATTCATACTAAATTAATAATAATAGAATAAAATTAATTTTGGTCTCAAGTTAACCTTTCACTGAGATATTGGATCCAGCAACGAAAGAAACGAATCTTGATAATCTTACAAATTATAATTAAATATGATATTACTCGCTGCTCAAGTTTCTTCAGATCCTTTCATAATGGTGTCGTCTACAGCACCTGTTTACTATCAAATTTTCATTAGACGAATACCAAAAAATGCCAAGCCGAACTAACTTTCTAGAAACTAAATCCATTCAAGGATGCTGAACGTGAGACATTGCACTTTGCCAAAAATGAACTACACTTCACAACGCAGCTGTTTCGTCCTTCTGTGGGTCTTAGTCTTCAATTCCGCATTTTGAAATGTTAAAAGTACCACTCTAACATAGCTGAAACGTCAAGCAAATCAATTAGATCAAATTTTGCAAGGTTCTACTCAGTTTGTATAACATTATCTACTATAAGACCCCTTTTTAACAACCTCCTGAGGACAGTCCTTTGTGATAAGCCTTCAAACAATGGAGAAGTATCATTACTGTGACAGATTCCCGCCTATTCAACAACTCTCCGCGTCTTGTCATGTTATCTGCCTGTACGTTTGAAAGTACAAGGCAGGTGAATGTTTTTATGCTCTCTGGTCTCATTCCGATGCATACCAGTATCAAAATATTTTGTGAGTATTGCTACCACCATCAGGAGTATGTTTGTTTTCAGTAGACTATTTCTATAATTAGAATGTCTTATGATGCAATGTTTGCTATCAGTATAATGTTTATATTATGCGACTGTCATATATCCACAAAATGTTTGATATCAGTTGTATATTTCTATAATTAGAACGCTTTATGAATACAGCATGTTTGATATCGGAGGAGTATTTATATAATCAGAATGCCATTTTCGACAGAATGTTTGATTATTAAGTAGATAATTTCTATAATTAGAACGTTTTATTTCGACAGATTGGTTAAAATCAATGTTTAATATCATTATCTATATTTAATATCATTATATCGCTATGTACCATTACAATTATATATAATATATATACATATATATTCCATGTTTGTAAAATACAGCTAAATGTATCCGGCACCACTTGATGTACAACACGTCGAAGAAAATAATATAGAAATATCAATATACCTGATATACCAAGTTATCAATAGACCTCGTCTATATTAAAGACGCAGATACAAAATGTCAACGAATTGTTATTGCATTTAAGAACACAATTACTTCTTGTCTGTGTTCTGTTTTGGGATTAAAATATGATGAGAAAATGTTGGATCACCAAAGTAATGAAGGTCGTAAAGTCTATGCAGAAACATCCGAGTTAGCATCTTACAGACTAACGATGTAACATTTTTTTATTTCGGTTATTCCATTGCACGTTCAAAATAAAAAAAATCTTTAAATTAGCTTCAAACACAAATTGCCTAATTTTTTTTTTTTTTTTTTTTTTTAATGACAGCATTTTTATTTAGAGATATATACCCTCTTAACGAACTAAATTTTCTGCATAGTTTCTTTCTCATAAATCACAAATACCCTTATGGTACTCTCCGCCACTTTATAGTAAGTAGCGCAACACACCATGAAAGATACTAATTTCACAGTTATGTATAACTCACAAATACACATCCCCTTCTCAAGCTTTAAGATTCAGACTACAACGACCTGTCTCCCCTGATAAAAAACACCGTTGTATATTACAAGTTCCCGCGCTGGAGCATGGTTTGTTACGTAATGAGGATGTGCAATGAGTATAGGAAGTAGACCACTCCTACTAAACACATTGACATTTAAGTTTAAATATCATTCCGTTCCTAACACATTAGAGATAGTTAACCTTTCACAGAAATATAAAAAGATACATCGATAACAACAATGGGAAAAGACAATTGTAGATGCACTGCATTGCTGTACATATTACGTGTGTACGTGCAGTCGTAATTCACAGCGGTCAGACAAAAACCAAGAAAAGTAATGTAAGTATATTTGTTTTTATTAAAAACGACAAATATAAAACAAAATGTCACCGGTACAATTAAATACTATAAAAACGTCGGGACAGTACCCGGTTCTATAATCAACCCACAAATACATTTAAAAAAATAATTTTTGTTGTTTACTGTAAAGCGTGAATGATAAATACTTGAATCAGCACTTGAGGATGCATTTTGCAATATTTATCGCTATTATTTACGGAATAAGCATCCACGATATATTGAAAGTAACTAATGAATACGGAAATGAATCCGTAGCAAAAATGAAGTGATTGCAAGTTAACAACAAAATAGCTGAACATACGAAAATTATTTGAATAAATAGACCATTTGTTCGTTCATACATGTATATTCAATAAATATTTCATTTAGTCATATTCCACTCATCAATCCATTCATTCCCCTCTGACATTCACGTGTATGTCCATCAGACACCACCCTATATGGCACCTCTCGGATATAAAAACATTTCATATTGCCTTCTCCTTCGAAAGCATTTTGTTTGTCCACTACGGAAAGTCTGTGTAACGCTGTCATATGAATAAAAGTCCCCTTTACGATATAAGGACATAGCAGACGTCCATATGTCGAGATTACGAGATTCCATACGTCCCTTTCCCTTTGCATAAAGCTATTTGAGAACGTAGCCGTGCCGACATTTTTATATATAGGTAACAATACATAAACATAACAGAAGACGTTCTGTAGGACAAATCTCAGATCGAATGTCTCTTGAAGGCTCACGTAAGTGTGACGTTATATTGCTAATCAAATCACCGGTATCACAACACCCTTCTACTGCTACCAAACACGCTAGCATGCTTTACCGAATTTGTCGAAAAAACATGCATGCAATGTATGTTTAGGTTTTGGAGCAGGAAATAGAACGAGTTCAGGATCTTTTGTAAGGAACTTCCAGGCAAATCTGTTACAGAGTTGTCGTGTAAACAGTCTTAGTACAACCATTGCGTAGTTCTTTCCTGGGCAGATCCGGAGACCGCCCCCGAATGTGAGGAATGCCGCCCTGTCTTTTCCCTCGGGTGCTTGGAGCCACCTGTCGGGGTTGAACTCTAACGGGTCAGAGAGTGTGACGTCATTCTCGTGTGTGTCACGGAAGCCGCAGATCACTGTCCAGTTTTTCGGAAGAGTGTATCCCTGAAATGGATGAAGCGACGTCAATAATGATAAAATCAAAATTTAAACGTGAACTTGTATACAAACGTCGATACATTGCATTATCTGTGGTATCAAGGTAAGAGACAAATTTTGTTTTCACTGTTTATTCAATTACATTGATATTGGCATGAGATTAATTGATGCACGTAAAATATTAATCATTTCAAATTTTTGTCAACTTTTATTATTTAAATCGAGTATTAATTTTCTATAAACGTTAATCGCTACATTGTACCTACCTACATAACAATAGACTTGTTCATTTTTCGGTAAGCTCCTCCAACAGGGGGCGTTACTCTTAAAGCCTCCTTCACAACGGAATCCAAATAACTCGGTCCTGACGTGTTGTCAATGCCTTGACTTTCGATATCCTCGCGAACTTTCTGTAGCACTGCTGGGTTACGAGTGAGGTGGTAGATGATGGCGAACGCGCCACTACTGACAGTCTCGCTGGCGTTCCACATCAGTTCCACGATGGCGTCCAATAGCCTTTCGTCATCGGGGCGCGCGTAATCGTCAAGGTCGGCACCGTAGGCCTGCAGCAATGATGGGAACTCACTTACTTTTCCTCCTTTCTCTTCTATAATGGCGGCAAATATTTTCTTCAATTCTTTCTTGGCCCTCAACCCCTAAAAACAGCAATAACCACAGTTTAAATAGGTTATATAAGGAGTTGAATCCTTCATGATGCATATCAAAAATATTGATTATATTGAATGTATAAAACATAGAACTGATGAACATTCTTTTCACAAAGGAAAATCAATTATCTTTTATTGCCAGCAATTTAAAAGGCATGTGTCATTCAATGCATTAGATCTTACCATCGGAGTTGTATGCATATACATTTTGGATATTTCGTAACTCTGATTCCATTAGAATATGGGTTTTTTTATACCCTATATATGTTTTTTTATTTGTCAGTGAAATATAAAGGTGATAATCAAGTTTTTTCACAAGCAAATCTTTGGCAGCTGTTTAACTGCTTGTAATGTTTTGCCTACAGTTATGTTAACATTGCCATAGTATTTTTCTACTGCGTGTGTTACAATACCAATCGTACACACTTACCTTGTATAAACCAAACCCCGGTAGGTTGACTGGCAATGAGAAGATGTTGTCGGTGAACTGTTGGTACAACTCTTTGATTCTACGATTGGTTTCCAGGAGTATGTCAATATCGACTAGGAATTTTGCCGCCATTTCGGTGAAGAGTGCTCTAATTTCCAAGTAAATGTCGACAGAGGGTTCCGAACTCCATCTCAGCATGTGGTCATCGATGAGGTCAACAAATCCAGAACGATGTTTCCTGAGAAACTCCGGCGACAGATACTGCATTAACTGAACCTTGCGACTTTTGTGGAGAAGTCCTTCAGACATGCTTAATGCATTAGGTCCAAGGAGTGTCCGAATGGATGACGGATAGCTGGATTTCACTGTTTTGTTTTCGCCCTGAAGTATCTCTCGGACATTTTTATTACCAGTAACGCGAATGACAGGGTTTCCAAAAAGGTGGGTCTTAAATATTCTTCCGTAGAGTCTCCTTCTCTCCCGGAAAAAGTTAACCTGGAATTGAAGAAGAAACATTATATTACCTAAAAGTGATGCAGAGCGAATGTTACACACATGCTGCAAGTAATATGTTAGCAGACAGGTATCGTTGGAATAAGGTATTATTATGACAATGTTCAAAACTATGCTTATGTGGATTGTGGATTGATTTAATCACTTGGTTTGACGAGTTATAAACCTGAAACATAAGAAATTATAGTTAAAGCGTAAATATATTTTAGCGGGACAGTAATCAATGATTGTTAAATAATACACATAACAATTGTATTTCTATTTTTTTCTTATCTTGCATTAACATAATCATTAGTATATCTTAACAGTAACTTAAGACATATTCAACGGAATCATTTACTAGTGTTAATCTAACTAAACTTCGAACAAAACGGTCTCCATCAGTGGCTAAGTCTAGTATATAATACAGACTTACCTTCTGTACGGCTAGCTTGAATGTCTCCCCTATCACGGGCCATCCTAGAGATCCCGGGGGTAGGGATGGTAACACAGTCCCATCCGTGTCTCTAGCCATCAAATACTTCATAAGAAGGAAAATGACCAGGAATATTAAAAACGCCGTTTCCAACATGTTGATATCAGGCTTTAGGGTAAAATTATTAAAATGTCCAAAATAACCTTAAGTATGAGAACTACGTTTAAAACCAGAAAGTTTAAAACTAGAAACATTTCGAAACTTACCTCTATATATACGGCGGTATAGATACGTCATGGGTGATATTTAAACTTCAATTTACGTGTACTTACTGCGTCACCGGGGGGTTAGAGGTCAGCCGACATCCGCGGATGAACCCTTCAGTAGAAGTAAACGACCCCTGCATTCACGCTCGGTACATATACTATTTAACATATAGGGCTTACATAACAGCTTTTTTTTCTCGAGGTCGTTGACCATGAAGCGAGGCCAAACACTTATTTTCCAATATCTACATATGATTTACAATAAACGACAGATGTTTTGAAACAAGAAATACAAAGACGTACACACAACTACAGACAATCTGACCGATGATATCAATGTAAAGAAGGTTATGTGGTATATATAGAATGCTTAATTATTTAAGAACAAAATACATAGTTTCATTTTAGACTCATACAACACACAGTGATAGTATCAACCGTCAGAATATTGATGTTAATTACCGGGGTAATAAATTAATTATGTTAATTCATATAATGTAGCACGTGCTACTGTTGCCTACTGGAGGTCATGTTGTTTACTTTAATAACTGGAATGTGTTATACAATTTATTAATTTTGATTATAAGTCTGAACGGTATTACTTTTGATTATTTTAATGCATGGTATAAGTTTGAACTATAAAAGACATGCCATTAGTTTTAACTACAGCATGCTAATAATCTAATATCGAATATGTTCAGAGTTCAAATACAAATTTGAGTATTTCAATTTCAATAAATTTTATTGTCAAAGGACAAATGGATTGGGCAGCAGGCATAGGCTATTTAAGCCCTTTCCAAACATAGTAACAGACAGTGGTACAAGCATAGACATATACATTAGAACCCTACAAACACATATAAACAAGTTGGTATTGTCAAATTAATAATCAAATTAGGGGAAACAACTACTAATACTCATTTTTATTATAATTGAATCGAATGGTTTAAGTTCTAACCTTTTATTTTGATATTGAAAAGACATATACAATATATACCGGTATATATATATACACATATTATGAAGAGAAAAGAAAATAGTTTATTGATGGAGCTGCATGTATAAACATTTGATGGGATTAAATTACCGCACCCAACAGATACAGGCCAAAAAGTCCATTGTATCACACAAGGCCATCCACTGATGAGTTTGGATATTCAATCCCACCAAATAGTTTAATTTATGCATATTAAACACAGGTTAGATTTATAATTACCATGTTGTAAAGCTTTATATTCTTATTTATGTAGTGGTTTCCCAATTTTTTTTTAATAAAATAGTATAACTGGTCTTCTGAACCCCAGCCCCCCTCACTAACAATGATTAAAAAGTAAACAATGCAGACAAATAGGAAATATTAATATTAATATTCATGTAGCATTTCTGGATAAAATTTGAGCATTTTAGCTTGTAAGTTAAGTAGCTTGTCCTTACAAAACGATACAGTATGTATGTATTGATGTATGAATGTACGTATTAACGTATGTATGTATTAATGTATAGTTTAAACTACAGCATGCTTGTATCTAATATCGAATATGTTCAGATTTCAAATACAATTTTTGTGTATTTTAGCCTGTAAATTAAGTAGCATGTCCTTACAAAAAGACACAGTATCAAACTCCCAAATTAAACAGCAATATTATAATATCTGTACAATAAGAGGTATATTAATAATGTCCTCGTAACGCAAAGTCAGTAGATCTATAAAACGAAGTGAACTGGAATTGTCATGGCAAAGCTATGATGTAAGATATGTATAAAATGCTAGACTAGTCTTTACAAAGCTATGATGTAAGATCTGTACAAAATGCTAGACTAGACTTTACAAAGCTATGATGTAAGATCTGTACAAAATACTAGACTAGTTTTTACAAAGCTATGATGTAAGATCTGTACAAAATGCTAGACTAGACTAGTCTTTACAAAGCTTTGATGTAAGATCTGTACAAAATGCTAGACTAAACTAGTCTTTACACAGCTATGATGTAAGATCTGTACAAAATGCTGGACTAGACTAGTCTTTACAAAGCTATGATGTAAGATCTGTACAAAATTCTAGACTAGACTAGTCTTTACAAATCTATGATGTAAGATCTGTACAAAATGCTAGACTAGACTAGTCTTTACAAAGCTACATTTTGTATGTTGTGAGTTCTGTACAAAATGCTGGACTAGTCTTTACAACGCTATGCTCTGAGATCGTTACAACGAAATCGACAGGAAGAGTCCTGTACAAGCTTTGTTCTGTGATAAATGCCTTGTCGGTATCACATTGTTGATGTGAACATCATTATTCCAAACCACGATGATTCCAAACGTAACTTATTATATCTGTTATCTCTACTGAGTGTGAACGGGAATATAAACCAATAGATACGACTGAAGAACAGGAAGGTTAATTAGGACTGGTTCTGTTGTTCCTATTGTAGAGTTATATTACCTACAAGCATCCAAGGGCAATAAAAAGTGTTAATTGTATTATAACTAATAATGACAACTTTACTAATTGTAGTATAGCAATGATTACTTTACTAATTGTAGTACAGCAATGTTTACTTAACTAATTGTAGTATAGCAATGATTACTTTACTGATTGTTGTATAGCAATGATTACTTTACTAATTGTAGTATAGCAATGATTACTTTACTAATTGTAGTATAGCAATGATTACTTTACTAATTGTAGTATAGCAATGATTACTTTACTAATTGTAGTATAGCAATGATTACTTTACTAATTGTAGTATAGCAATGATTACTTTACTAATTGTAGTATAGCAATGATTACTTTACTAATTGTAGTATAGCAATGATTACTTTACTAATTGTAGTATAGCAATGATTACTTTACTAATTGTAGTATAGCAATGATTACTTTACTAATTGTAGTATAGCAATGATTACTTTACTAATTGTAGTATAGCAATGATTACTTTACTAATTGTAGTATAGCAATGATTACTTTACTAATTGTAGTATAGCAATGATTACTTTACTAATTGTAGTATAGCAATGATTACTTTACTAATTGTAGTATAGCAATGATTACTTTACTAATTGTAGTATAGCAATGATTACTTTACTAATTGTAGTATAGCAATGATTACTTTACTAATTGTAGTATAGCAATGATTACTTTACTAATTGTAGTATAGCAATGATTACTTTACTAATTGTAGTATAGCAATGATTACTTTACTAATTGTAGTATAGCAATGATTACTTTACTAATTGTAGTATAGCAATGATTACTTTACTAATTGTAGTATAGCAATGATTACTTTACTAATTGTAGTATAGCAATGATTACTTTACTAATTGTAGTATAGCAATGATTACTTTACTAATTGTAGTATAGCAATAATTACTTTACTAATTGTAGTATAGCAATGTTTACTTTACTGATTGTTGTATAGCAATGATAACTTTACTAATTGTAGTATAGCAATGATTACTTTACTAATTGTAGTATAGCAATGATTACTTTACTAATTGTAGTATAGCAATGATTACTTTACTAATTGTAGTATAGCAATGATTACTTTACTAATTGTAGTATAGCAATGATTACTTTACTAATTGTAGTATAGCAATGATTACTTTACTAATTGTAGTATAGCAATGATTACTTTACTAATTGTAGTATAGCAATGATTACTTTACTAATTGTAGTATAGCAATGATTACTTTACTAATTGTAGTATAGCAATGATTACTTTACTAATTGTAGTATAGCAATGATTACTTTACTAATTGTAGTATAGCAATGATTACTTTACTAATTGTAGTATAGCAATGATTACTTTACTAATTGTAGTATAGCAATGATTACTTTACTAATTGTAGTATAGCAATGATTACTTTACTAATTGTAGTATAGCAATGATTACTTTACTAATTGTAGTATAGCAATGATTACTTTACTAATTGTAGTATAGCAATGATTACTTTACTAATTGTAGTATAGCAATGATTACTTTACTAATTGTAGTATAGCAATGATTACTTTACTAATTGTAGTATAGCAATGATTACTTTACTAATTGTAGTATAGCAATGATTACTTTACTAATTGTAGTATAGCAATGATTACTTTACTAATTGTAGTATAGCAATGATTACTTTACTAATTGTAGTATAGCAATGATTACTTTACTAATTGTAGTATAGCAATGATTACTTTACTAATTGTAGTATAGCAATGATTACTTTACTAATTGTAGTATAGCAATGATTACTTTACTAATTGTAGTATAGCAATGATTACTTTACTAATTGTAGTATAGCAATGATTACTTTACTAATTGTAGTATAGCAATGATTACTTTACTAATTGTAGTATAGCAATGATTACTTTACTAATTGTAGTATAGCAATGATTACTTTACTAATTGTAGTATAGCAATGATTACTTTACTAATTGTAGTATAGCAATGATTACTTTACTAATTGTAGTATAGCAATGATTACTTTACTAATTGTAGTATAGCAATGATTACTTTACTAATTGTAGTATAGCAATGATTACTTTACTAATTGTAGTATAGTAATGATTTCTAATTGTAGTATAGCAATTATTACTTTACTTATTGCAGTATAGCAATGATTACTTTCCTAATTGTAGTATAGCAATGATTACTTTACTAATTGTAGTATAGCAATGATTACTTTACTAATTGAATTCTAACTTGGTTTTTAACATGAAGCCCGTATGCAACAAATTAATGCAAATTATCAGCAGATGTACCTCTGGATATGCTTTACATCTCTGAATTGTGAAGTTCATATAATTTTAAAATGTTTTAACAGTTTCAGCAGTAGTTTAGACCAACTCGAATTTCTAACGTGTTGGCCCCTAGCATCACCAATGAGATCTAGAAGGAAAAAATGCGATACGGTGAAGTGTAATTCATTTTGGCATACTGTACGTGTGTGTGTCGTACGTTTATCTTTAA